GCTTCCCCCACTATACCACAAGTAACTTGAGGGTAGAAACTATATTTATTAATCTCTGTATCCCAGCCCTAGCATAGTACGTGTCTTACAAGAAATACTGAGTAAATATTTGTTGAATGAATGAATCAGCTCACTCTCTATGCTCATCCCCCATCTCCATATACTTATATCAGTGACCTTGTTCTGTCAGTTACTTTAACCACTCCTCAAACCCCACACGTACCATTCATTGTCTCTTTCCATTCGTACTTTTCCTCAGCCTATTGACACTCTCCTTCAATCATTTCATTCATTGCCACCCTTCTTAAGTGGGCCTTTGGAACCCCTATAGGCTGCAGAGAGCTGTGATAACACCACTGCACAATAGCCTGGGCTACAGAGTGAGACTCTATCTCAAAAAAGAAACAGGAATATATGGCGATCAAAATAGGATATTGGTTATCCTTGATTAGTAATAGTGCTTGGAAAGAGACACAGGAAGACTTTGGGCAGGAGGGGATGGAAGATAAGTTCTGTTTTTTGATACATGGGTGTGTTCTGTTTCTGATAGTTTATTGACTCAATTGCCCATGTGCTTTTCTGCATGTACATTATAGTTTAATAAAAGTGTTTACTGGGAGAGAGATCCAAGGTGGCTGATTAGCAGCAGCTCAGGATTGGATCCCTACAATGGAATAATATTTGCCAATAAACAGGAATAAATTGCTACTGGTACTGGCACAACATGAATACACCTTAAAACCATTGTTACATGAAAGAACAAGTCACAAAATACTACATATTTTATTATTCCATTCATAGTTAATATCCCAAATAGTCAAGCCGATTAGTGGTTGCCTAGAGCTGGCAAGGTGAGAGGAGGTTGTCAGATAGGGAGTGACTGCTAATGGGTATGGAAATTTATACATATATATAAAGCCACTATAGATTCACAGTAAGTTACAAACATAGTACCAAGACGTCTCATGTACCATTCGCTCTGTCTTCCCTAATGTTTACATATTATATAATTATAGTGCATTATCAAAACCAAGAAGTAAGCATTGCTACAAACTGTGTGCATAGTTCTGTCATTTAATCACATGTGCAGATTCCTATAAAAACTTCAATCAAGATATAAAACTATTCCATCACTTCAAAGATCTCCCTCATGTTACCCCTTTATGATTATACCTACTTCTTCCATACCCAAAATCCTTATTCCCTGGCATCCACTAATCTGTTTCTCATTTCTATAGTTTTGCTATTTCAAGAGTGGTATATAAATAGAATCATACAGTATGTTATCTTTTAAGACTGTCTCTCTTATTACTCAGTGAAATACTCTTGAGATGCATCCAAGTTGTCCCATGTATCAGTGGTTAGTTACTTTTTATTACTGTATAGTATTACATGCCATTGTTATACCACAGTTTGTTTCACCATTCACCCATTGGTCATTTGAATTATTTCCAACTTTCTTTGGTTATTACAAATAAAGGTGGCATGAACAATTGTATACAGATGTTTGCATGGAAATAAGTTTTTGTTTCTTTGGGATAAATGCCCAGAAATGAAAGTTATGGGTCACATGATAACCCCATGTTTCGTATTTTTTTTAAAATACCATCCTCAGCAAACTAACACAGGAACAACAAATTAACACAGGAACAGAAAACCAAACACCACGTGTTCTCACTTATAAGTGGGCGCTAAATGAGGAGAACTTGTGAACACAAAGAAGGAAACAATAGACATTGGGGTCTACTTGAGGGTAGAGGGTGGGAGGAAGGAGAGGAGCAGAAAAGATAACTATTGGTTACTTGACTTAATTCCTGGATAATGAAATAATCTGTACAATAAACTCCTATGACATGAGTTTACCTATGTAACAAACCTTCACAAGTATCCCCAAACCTAAAATAAAAGTTAAAAAAAAACAAAACTTAAAAAAAATTAAACTGAAGTATTTGTTGGGAGAAGGATATTGAAGTCTCCAATTATAATTGTGGATTTAGCTAATTCCCCTTTCAGTTCTACCAGTTCTTGCTTCATATATCTTGCAACTCTGTTGTTTTTGCATACATGTTTAAAATTTCTATGTCTCCTTGATGGATTGATCCTTTTATCATTATGCAATGTCTCTGTCCCTCATTATTTTCTGTGCTCTGAAGTCTACTCTATCTAAAATTAGTTTAGCCACTCCTGGTTTTTTTGATTAATATATGCAAAGTATATCTTTTTTCATCCTTTTACTTTTCACATATATACATCATTACGAAGTGATTTTCTTGAAGTTGGTATGTAATTGAGCCTATTTTAATCTATTTTGTTGATCTCTGTCTTTTAATTGTACTTTAATTATTGATATATTGGGGCTTATGCCTGCCATTTTATTTTTTGTTATTTGTTGTTCTCTGTTTTTCATTTTTCTGTTTTTTGTTTCCTTCCCTCCTATGGGTTATTTAACATATTTTTAGAATTCTATTTTTATTTAAATATTATGTTTTTGGATGTATATCTTTGTATACATTTTTGGTGGTTGTACCATCTATTATATTTTATATGTTTATACATCGATTATATTTTACATATTTATAAATATATATTTATATATTGTATATATTTATACATCTATTTTATATATTTATACATCTATCTTTTTTTTTGAGTATCAATAAGTCTTTATTTGTTCATTGTATTTTCCAAGGGAAAGGAGAAGGGAAGGGAAGAGTCAGCATGTGTTAATAAATGATTAGAAAATTGGAAAGGAAATACCCAGTACAGCAAAATCAACCATCAAATAAACACACCCCAGTGATGGGATCACCAAAGCCCAAAAGGGCTCAATCTCCTGCAGTTTAGGAATGAGGGAAAGGGATCAGGAAAAGGATAGACAGGTACAAGCTTTCCTCCCTCCCTCCCATAAATTCAAGATTTTACACAAAGCTTTGGTTTCTAGCAGTAAATATGGAGTTACATTCGTTCATCTCCTATTAAACAATCTTGTGGCCACTTTGACATAAGTTTCTAGCACCTGCATAAAAGTTCCTGAGTGACTTGAATATACATTCATATTCCCTTTCTTGGCCTCCTGACCCCACTTTCTACATGGAAGTCCCCCAGTTGCATCTCTCTACTTTAGGATTAAAAATTAAGTAGGTTTGATCCATCTAAAATACAGCAGTGTCTTTTTTTCTTTTTTTTTTTCTTTTTGAGACGGAGTCTTGCTCTGTCACCCAGGCTGGAGTGCAGTGGCACGATCTCAACTTACTGCAACCTCTACCTCCCAGTTT